CCCCCCCTGTTTCTTCCTTTCTTCTTTGGGTTGCGAGCTCCCTCCACCCCACCCACCCGCGCCCGCCCCGCAGCCCCTGCCTGGCCCATCCCGGCCCCACTTTCAACAACTTTTCTGTCGAGCTGAGGAGGAATGAAGACATTTGTGGGAACCTGAACCCGCTCGCTCAGAGCTCCTCACGCTACTTTCAGCGGAGAGGTGGAGGTGGGGGTGGAAGGAGGAAAAAAAAAACAAAGACAAGAAGAGCATGTTGATTAGAAACAAATGATCCCCCCCCCAAGGTTGTGTGTGTGTGCGTGTGTGTGCGTGCGTGCGTGTGTGTGCGTGCGTGTGTGTGTGTGCGTGTCTTTCTTGTTGTGGTGGAGGTGTCGAGCCATATGGGGGAGTGATAGAGGAATTTTAGTCAGAAACTGTTCGTTATGTTACCCTGGCTTTTCCCTTTGTGTTGTCTTTGATCTATTTGCTTGGCTTAGTCTTACCTAAAAAAACCCCCAACTCCAATAATATATTCTGAGTAGCTTCCCAAGGATCCCTATATCTTTCTTCTTCTTCTTCTTTTTCTTCTTCTTTTTTTAAGTCTTCCCCCCACCCTTTACTCCTGTGTCTGTCATTATTTAAGGTGGTCCTCACAGAGGAGACCTCCCCTTCCCCTCATCTCTGGGTAATTTAGTAGACATTAAAATTACACGTAATGTTTCCCTCTCCTCTCTTGTGTTTCCTCTGTTCTTTTTATTAAATGTTGGTTATTGATTTTCTAAAATCAATGTCTGTTGTGGGGCTTTTTTCCCCTTACAAGTATCTAAAGCACGTTGCTGATCAACTGGATAACAAAAGCTTTGTGTCAAGTAGCCTTTTTTCTTATGTTAAACAGTCATTTTTGAGAGAAAAGAGAATGAGATTTAAAGCAAGGCATCCAGAAGTGCTCTTTTGCAGTAAAGAATATTCTGAGTGTTTGTTTTTTTTATTCTTCTCCTTTATCCTTCTTGGGGTTTTTCATACAAGATTATTAGTTTAGAGTATGAAACCTATCACATGTTCTCTGAGGAGGGGAGGCATCTGTGTGCTTGATATTTTCTTCACACCATTTGATCAGCAGAATAAAATAAAATAAAAATAATAAAAAGCTAGGCGGCTGTGTCTGTGGAAGAGATAATGAATGTGATGTGTGTACACCCAGCTGCACACAAATCTTTGGAAACACACATGGACCGGAATGGCATATATATGCTGTTGCTCCATTGAAACTGTGTTTTCCTGTAGGTGCAAGAACTTAGGAAAGCCAGGACACTTGGGAGTAGAAAGTTTAATTGCGATTTTTAAGGGAACCACTTAGAGATCCTACAAACTTCATGTAAAGTGTGTGCCTTGGTTGCACGAAGGGTCTAACTTCTCCCTTCCATGTCTTCCTCCAATCAATACAGGGGAGAAAAATCATGTTGACTTTCTGTTTTCCCACTGTTTTTCTTTGTTCCATGATTTGTTTCTTTCATTCATTTCTGAGTCAGAAACGTCCTTGTTTTGAGAAGCAGGTAGACGAGGGATTTTTTTTTTCATTTTCTCTCTCTCGACAAGCACGTATCCAATGCCTTTCCCTTTGGGAATTGCCTAGGATTTATCTGAACTGAGTGGATTTTTCTTCTCTTCTGGATTCATGGAAAAGATGTCACTTCTGAGCTTGTGTCTTTGCTGATAACACTAAATATGATGATGCTTATCGAAATCATATAGAAATTCCTTGGAACCTCTATAGAATCCAACTAAAATAAAAAGGTGCTAAAAATAGATGGTCATCAAGGAAACTAGAGTGATAGAAACGTAACCAAATAGAAATTATAGAAGGGATCAGCATAGAATAAACCGGCTAAAGCCTGCGTGTGTGAGTGTGTGCGCGCGTGTGCGCGTGTGTGTGCGCGCAAGGATGGTCAGGACTCAGGATTAGATAACGATGCTGGATAAAATTACTACGAAGCTAAATAGGGGAGAAAAGCAAAGCCCAGCTTTTACAAGATAACGGAATTGATCAGAGCTGCAAGAGGAGACCGGTGGAACAGGGCAGTGGCAGGGAGACATAGTGGGGGGCGTATATTAAAATAACTTATCATGGGGGAAATATCCTCAGGGGAAAAAAATCCGTGAAAAAGAAAAGCCTAAAAAGAAGGGACTAGGAGTTGGGGGTGGGGAAGGTGGGGAAATAGAAGAGCCCGCAGCCCAGGAATGTGTGTCGGTTTCAGGAAAGTTCAGTCAGATGATTCCCAGTCGCCTGACTCATTTGTAACACTTTCACTGAAGAAAGGAGTGGAGGCAGGAGACAGACCCAAAGCCCCTTCCTCCCCGGCCCTCTCGGCCCGCGTCCTCGTGGGGGACGGTGGCTCGTCCCCAGCCAGCCACGCTGCGGGAGCCCACGCAGCAGCACCGCTGCCAACTTCCAAAGTTTGGTGCTTGCTGCTGCTCTTGCCCCTGGTTGGAGCTGGAGCTGGGGATGCTGCCTCTTCCTGCCTCCCTGCTGCACGCAGAGCCTTAGAAATAAGAGGAAGGGGTTTCATTCCTCATCACTCCTTCCTTCTCGGTCTCCAGGAGAGGAGACTAGATACAAAAACGCTTTCCTTCAGACCAGATCTCTCTGGCAGGGGCTGGGGGTAGAGTTGCCCCTTTTAAAAACAAAAATCTTTCTAGGGAAGGAGGGGGGGGGGAAGAGAAAAGTTGGATCTAATTTTCTCCAAAGTTTCAGTAAACAGCTCTCTTTGATTTCTTTGCCATTTCGCTTCCAGTTGCAAAGAAAAGGCAGAAAGTTCAATGTTTTCAAGGCGTCTGATCCGAAAGGGAATACAGACCAAAGAAGCAGACACAATTATTCCTGCTCAAAAACGTTTACCAAAAAAGACACGCACCCAGCTTCTCTTTAGAGATCCTGGGAAGGGAGAAGGGGGAGGGGGGTGGAAATCGAATTCACTTTTCACTTGATCAAGAAAAAAAATCTGAGTGGTGTCTCTACATGGTGGGAGGTAAGGTTTGTCTTCCCAATGGGTGAAGTTAGGGGCGAGCTGGCCTCAGCTAGAAGGCTAGCCAGAGACAAGGAGGCTGCTCCCAGTACATTTCAGGTGGTAACAAGTTATAGCGGTCAGCTGGGAGCGTTGCTTTTCCTGGTTATCTTTACAAGTGTGAAAATCCGTTGCAAGTGGATTACTTTTAAAGTTGATTAGCTTATGGAGAGAATGTTTTACTACCTCCAAAAGTACCTGGACCTCTCTATATTTTAATATTCTGTCCCAAAGGCAAGTGGTCAAGATGTACTTGTTACATCTCACTGTACAGATTAATGTCTAGAGCAAGTTTTGACACAGAACAGAGGAGGCGGTTTTCTGTGTCAAGATTAATCTGTTTATTTTATTTTCGAGTTTGGGGGGAAAAGAGGGAATTTGGGTTTCAGTGACTGATTTAGTATATGCTGTTCTTTAATTACTGTGACTGCTTTTGCATATATTTTTCCCTATTGCACATGACTGACAAGGAAACTTTTTTTTTTTTGGAATTTCTCGTTTCTGTCAAATAAAAAAAGGGACCATAAGAATCAATATTTCTTTAAAAATGAGGAAACAGAGTTGAAAGTTCATTGTTAAATAAATATCTATGGTAAACTGCCCAAGGTAAAGAAAATATATGGAGGCTGAGAAACAAGCTATAAAGCCAGGCTGAAAATATTCCCTAAAAAAAATGTGTGTCTGCTCTTAAAGTGGGAAGAAGAGTCTTGGTTCTTTTGCAGCAGCTCCACATTCATTCCAAGAAATAGGAAATTCTTCGCCACAGTTTTTGGCATCTGCATTATCCCAATGCTTTTAAGGTGCATTTTCTCCTCTGTGAAAGAGAACTCTTTGTCCTTTTTTTCCAAGACCATGGCTTCCCAAGGTAGACACTATTTTGTGCCTGTCACATAGAAAGGGAGTGCAGGTTTGCAGTGCTCACAGACAATTGATTGTCTGCCCTAATGTGTTTCATTTACATGTTTATAACGTCAATAGTGCTGGGGTGTCCACTGTACCATTCATTCCAGCATTCCCACAAGGGTGCAATTGTCTGAATGGCCAAGTCAGACACCTTTTTGATTGCTCTTTAGTTGTCTTTTTAGAGTATGGAGAAAAAGGAGAGAAATCTGTGATGCAGAAACACTAGTTGAAAATATTTCAGAATTAAACGTCACCAGTAAATCAGATGGCAACATTAGGCAAACTACATATTTTAACTCGGATTCTAAAGGTGTAAAAAAGTCACGACAGAGAGGGTGGTTATTGCAACGTGACTAAATCTAGTCCTGGTGCTTAATTTTTTAGTCCTTTTTAATGATTTCTGGTTTTCATTTTCCTTTCAGCTCTGTAATCGCAACCACCTCCTAACTCTTTGTATGCTTAACTGTCATTTGTGATTTTCTTCTATATATTTACATATCTCTGTTTATGCCAACAGCCTCAGCTAACCACTTGGAAAATCTATTGAAAGACTATTTAGGCTGTGGGGAGTATAAACTTAAAAAAGTAAGATCCAAATATTTCTTCATCAAGCATTTTTAATGAAAAAAATTATGATGCTGACTAGACTTTCCTTGAAGCCTTTTAACTTAAAGAGCTGTGTACCAACTTCTGTCTTTGGCTCCAGTCGTTCCCTGCTGTAAGCTCTCAGCAAAGTGTTCCTAGGAGTTCCAAAGTCAATAAAAGATTACTTTTTAAGGTGTGCTGTATGTTTTTATATGTCACACTGTCTTTTATCCTTTAAGTTGCTTCTGAGGGAGGCGAGAAATGATGCCACATGTCTACGATTTCAGGTTTGAATAAACAAGCCTCACATCTTCTTGAGTCCGATCAATGGCTAGATATATATTATATAACCATATATAATATATATATATATGTATATATACATAATTATATATACACACACATGTATTGGCCATATAGTTTAGTACATGTAGACAGTACATAGGGATACACCCAGGGGAAAAGATGTCTCGTTTCAGACACGATCCTTCTTCCCTAAAATGATGATCCCAAATCCTACAGTTTTTCCAAGATAACCTATTTAGTTCATCGGGGAAGACGCCCCTAAGCCCTGTGCGTCCTGATGGGGTGGTAAACCTGGCGGGGAGAAACTTTTTTTTTTTAAATATAAATTTGTTGTGATTTTTTTTTTAAAAAAAAAAATTGCCTGTTGTGGGAATTTTTCCCTTTTTTTTTTCTTTTTCTTTTTTTTTTTTTTTTTTTTTGCCTAACAGCGAAGACACACACAGTAGATGCACCGTTAGCTGAACCCCTGACACGGCGGTCTTTTGAATGCCTTAGGTATGATTTCACTTTCGCTCACATCAATGCTGACCTGAATGCCTTTCATATCTGATCCGCTGTGTCTCTCCCAGTAAACATCCCCTGAGGGGAGAACAAAGAAAGGAGCTCTTCTTCTTCTTAATCACAATTCAGCCCATTCACCGCCGGCAGGCTACATTTGCATTCTGCAACAGAAAGCCAAGATGAAAAGAAAAAAAAAGAGAGTGAGAAGAGGGGGGAAAAAAAAGCAGAAGGGTGGAGGCTGAGTAAAATAACTTAGGTGTTTGTAGCTGTTTGTTGGGCTTCCCCTAGTTACAAGCCTTATATAGATCCTGCTCTACCCAGCCTTGGCTCTCCTGACAGGCAGATAGTGTTACAAGATGGCATGCCTGTACTATTCATGGCCACTCGCACTAACACTTGAGGTAAAAAGTGTCAGAGAGGGATCAAATTCTACTCTGAGAAGTCTGTTATAGTTAGGGTCAGGTGTGTGTACTCTCCGCTCTTGACTGCTGCCTATTATTTTGTTTTAATTACTATTATTGTTGACTCACCATGACCTTGGGGAGCGGGGCTGGTTGGGGTGAGGCGGATCTTGTCCACACAGACGAGGAGAGAGCAGGGCGGGGGGAGCTGGGGATGTTCAGTGGCCGGGGAGTGGGGCTGGCGTGTCTCCTCCCTGCCAGGGACACGGCGGGAGGAAAAGTGGCAGGTCTGGGGGAAGGAAAAAGCTTTCCCAGATTTGTGGCTGAAATGATGAGCACGTTTGCTGGCGAGGGGGGGGGGAATATCCTACTAACCCAAAGGAGCCAAACAAACAAACAAGCAAAACCCCAACGACATCACAAACTTCAAAGGGGAAATGTAATCTCTCTTGTAAGTTTGCGGAGCCAAGTTCTCTCGTGGTTCTCGTGTTCCGAGTCATGTACATGATTTTTCCCCAGCTTTGTCATCCGTCTGCTTGAGTCTTTTTTTTTTTTTTCAGGAGCCCTTCTGCGTTTCTTAATAAGACAGTTTAAAAAATGTGGGTAAAGGGTTTGGGGTTTTTTTGGTCAGATTCACGTTTTCCACTAGGACAAGGCTTATTTCTAACGGGATCTTGCTTACTGGGGAGCGCTTCAGCCCTTTCAGGCAGAGCTGTCAACATTTCCCTGTGTTGTTTGTCTCCATTTGCAACATGTAAAAAGTAAGATGCAGTTGCTGGTATTGGAATAACCGGGGCAGTGCAGAAACCTTCAGTGACAAGTTTTCAACTACACTATCTGCTGCCGACCAAACTGTCATTTTTTTTTTTTCAGAAACCGCTTTTTAAGATACTAACAGGTTTTTTTTTCCATCAGCAAATAGATTAAATGTGCTAAAGCGACTCTGAGAGAAGAACAGTTTGAACAATATAAAGCGGGCAGGGATGTCTTATTTTTCTCTAGCTGCTATGGCAGGTTTCACTCATAAGGAGCACACTAACCGAGATGTTACCAGTTGAACAGAAGCATGTGACACAGATTCCTGATTTTTTCCCAGAAGATTTACAGAATTTACAAAAAGAGATTATCTCTACACCTTCCACCCTCCTGCCCACCCCCATGACCCAAGCAATGGAGGATTTAGGCAGATTTACTTCAGTAAACACCTTTGGACACTTGGGGGAAAGTAGGAGTCTGTTTGCAAAAGCAGGCTTTTGTTAAGTGAGGTGCTGGGATAATGCTTTACCAAGCAGCTGTGATATTAACCTACCCAGTAATGCTAGAAAACTGTTTAACTCCTTATGTGCTCCACACTTGCAGTCATCAGATAAGACTCCTGCTCCCGGGGGGACTTTCTTTGAAGGCTCCAAGTTGGGATTGTTCCTAGACAGGTTTGCACAGCAGAGGTGCGGGGGCAGCCCGGCATTTTTAAACACCCTAGAAGCTCCTCAACCAATAACATACTTTTCTCCTCTGTAGCTGAATCATGTTGGGTCGATCCGTGGCTCCAATTAGACAGCTCTACCAGCTCCAGGCGGACTTATCCTCAGTTAGGCAGAGAGAGACGTGTGTGCGCAGGCACTTAGGTGCACGTCCCCCTGCAAACCAGGCTTTGGGAGCCTGCGAAGTGGGTAAGGTGGGCGAGGCGGCTTCATGACTCTGTCTCAAGCAGCAAAATAGCAAGAGAGGCCACCAACTTGAAAAGCTGAGAGAGTGCAGTTCGGATGGGAACACCAGCCTCATGCCAGAAGTGCTTCAAGCATTTGCTACACTTTTCTAAAGGCTTCTCTGGCTTCCGAGGAGAAGGAGTTAATACCAGGTTAGGTTTTGCTGGGCATAAAAATAACTTTCCAGGTGTTGCTTTTTTTGGTTTTAAATAAGATTGCTTTATTTAGGGTTTTTTTCCCCCCTCAAAAAAGTGTAGGTGTCAATGTTAGAGCAGCCACAAATGTGTGAGAAAGCAAAGGGTATGAGACGTGACAGAATTAAAGGTGTTTGCTATGTTGTTACCCGTGTGTCAAGCTGCAAGCTCCTTTTGTCACAGCCTCCTGGTGATTTGATAGTGCAGATCCACTTCCCTTCTAGGTGATACAGCAGTTTTGAACTGGGGGGTTTAATGCGGAGTACTCACTGCCATGGCAGGCTTCCTCCCGAAATACATTTAATCACTGCCACCCTGCCCTGGCTCCAGCCTTAGATCAGGGTGCTCTGGACTCAAATCCCAGGACAGCAGCAGCAGCATTACAGTCTCTGGCATGGAGTGTAGTTTGGCAGGAATGTCATCTGCCAAATCATCCCATAATTACGTTTTATGTTATTTGTATGAATGACCAAGCATGCAGTATTCCTTTTGAAATCAAAGGAAGGCTTAAAATGCGTTTTTGAATACTTTCAGACCATGGTCAGGTCACAGTTTGGGAGTTGAATTAAACTGATCTCATTTGTGATCTAATTGAGGCTGGCAACAACCTTCGCAGTAGCAATAACATAGAAATACAAATCAAAGAGCAAAAAATAAATAAATAAAAAAAATCAGCAAATCAGATCTTTCGCTCGGAATCTGCCTAGGAGTTATTTGGTGACTGCCAACAGAGAAGTTAAACTTTGTCCTCTTTCTCAGCAGCAGTGCAAGCTTTGCATATTTTTCGGGTCTTTGACAGGGAAGTTAGGGGAGCCACACACAAAAGAGAGAAATGAGCAATGCCTCATCGCGGACGTTAAGGAAAGATACAAGCGTGACATAGCAACTAATTAAAAACACGTATGTTTCCAGTGAATCCAGTGCTATAAAAGTGGAGGAGGAGGGAAGAGATTGAAGAAGGGAGGAGGGGAGAGAGAGAGGGAGAGGAGCTCAGTGTAAACAGGAGCTGTTGTTCCAGGGGGAACTCAAGGCAGATCCTATCTCTCCATCTCTCGCTGCGGATTCCGGGCACGGAGCTCAGGGTGATTTAGATTGTTGACAAATTTGGCCATTAGTGTCTTGAACTTGTGCTGCAGTGGGGAAGCCTCGAGTTGTTGAAGTTTTTTGCCAGGCAAAGCGAGGCAGAAAGGTTTAGAGAGCCCCCCCCCCAACACACACACATTCAGATCCAAATCCGGAGCTGATTAGGGATATGCCCCAAGTCGGCCAGGTGCTTGGCCGGCAAGATCCGACTTCCCCCATCTCTGGAGAGCAGAGAGGTGTTCAGAGAAGGGCTTTGGGCCAGCGCATTTTTTTAACCAATTATTTAAAGAGATACACATCCATACAGCCTGGGACTCCGGGTGATTTAGCAGGGTGGATTCTCCCTTCCTCCTTCCCCCTACTCGTCCCGGTCCCTGGCAATGGTTTGCATCAGGGCCCTGGAGCTGCCGTCCCGGACCCGCGCTGCGCTCCGTCTAGTCCCGACCTCACCGGTGCTGCCGGCGGCGCGGCGCGGCGCGGCGATGCGCGGGGATGCGCGGTCGCTGCCCCCAGCAATGACCAGACCGTGGGGAAGGGGCGTCGCCGGCCCGAGGGGCGGG